TAGAGATTCGCACATGAGGTTTAGACCTTATGACTGAAAAAATGTGAACAGCTTAGGAGATAATATTAAGATAATTGATATGGTACAATCCTCCAGTCGGCTGAAACTATGTGATTTAGTGTCTCGTTGAGCTCAGGAAGCTCACTGTACTATCTCTGGTCAATCCAGTGCCAGAAGAGGTGGCGGCTCTGGCCTGGTTTTCGTTTGGTGCACGCACTCTCACCTAAGCCTCATTTATACAAGAGTAGTAAGTCTAATCTGTACAAGAGTAGTCCTCTTCGCTACTTATAAGCACAAATGTTTAGATATCTTATCAAAGCTGTACAGTTGAGAATTCTATCGGAAGCTTCCTTAATGACAACTAACAACTTTTGCTAAGTGTTTGGCTTCTCCCCCAATTTGTGGTGTGAGTTTTGATGTTGTTACAGAAATGGAGGGACCTACAGTTGTATGCCGCTTCCAAAGGGCAAATGAATTTTATGAGCAGCTTTTACATAGCAGAAATACACTCGGAGGTTCGCCATTGTCTGTCGAAGGGCTACCGCTGGTAGAAAACACTTCCCAAATTTGATGTTGCTCGGACCAGGGATCGAACCCAGTTCCTACGTAGTGGTAGTACACACCTCTAACCACTCAGCCGTAGCGGCATTATCATAGGTTTAAACGTACTAGAAGCGTTGAGTTTACATTTGAGCTTGATGGAGAGCATTTCACATAACACAGCTTCATTTGTTGTTGTTGGCCATACATAAATCTGGGCCATTCGGGTTACTGTACTTTCACATGGGCTGTGATCTTCCAGGGTTGAGCTAAAGTCTTGTTAATTAATGTTAATAAAAACCAACAAAAGTGAAGGATAATAATTTTATTCTTCAATCTCAGGTTCTGGGCATCTAAAAAGGTGGTTAGCCTATCCCCAGCAGGTAAAATATTATGGGAAGTATCCTTTCGTCATAGTTCTTAATTGAAGAAATTCCAATTATGTGATTTAAAATATACTTTTACGACATTCCGACATGCAGATAATCTGTTTAGATTTTTTTGAGGGGATGAAAAAGCTGAAGTGCCTGGAGTAGACAATATACTACTTGCTCAATTATGTGGACGCAAACACTCTTTTTATTTTTACCACGTGGAAAGAGGTATTTCTTCTATTCTGCTCCACACATAATTTGTAGCCCACAAATCCCTTTTTAAGTAAACATACTGAGGTTGTTCACGCTTGCCTGGTTATCAGGTTATGTGGTTATTTAGTTATATTCTTAATCAGTATACAACAATAAAATACACTACACAATACTCATTTTTAACCAGATAACCTATTAACCATGCAAGTGTGAACAACCTCATTTGTTTCTTAAAAAAGTTTTATTTTATATGAAATAATTTTTACGCTACTAACAAACGCCTCGGATTTTGAGCAAACTTTTCGATTATTTCTTTCTGAATCATCTCGCGGTTTCGGTAACGAGTTTTCTATGTACGCACATGGAGCATAGTCCCGAAAGCCATGTTTCTTACTCTATCAAGTGTATTAAACCATCGCTACACCATCGCTGTTGTGCATGAAAAAGCACTCAGAATGTAAATAAATGCACTTAAATATTTGTCGCGGGTAGAAATTCATTTGAATAGAATTTGAATTTGATAGATTTCTTCAATATGTTTCGCGCTCTTTTGTGCCTCTTTCACTTCTGAAGCTGGAGTATTTTTTATTGGAAAAGTGGAGTTTTAAAGAGGCCGTTAGTGAATCCAGATACGGTATTATTATAGATCGTTGCCAGGACTAATTTTCATTGAGCAATGGCGGTTACTTTTGTTTTCTTGTTTATCTGCTAAACGTGGTAGAGAAATTTCTACTCCTAGATCGGCTGTAATCATACGAGATTTCTTAATTAACTCCATAGTGACCGCTTCTGCGTTCCTGCGGTCGTGCATAACCACCTCAAAAATATTTTTAATATGCTAACCAAAGGTAACTTTGAATATTTAGCAATTGTCATTAAAGCAATGATAAACATCGTCCTTGTTATAGCAACCCCCTATTTTTTTATACCAACATGCTTTAGATTTAATTATTCAAACATTTTACAAATACACATTGGTGATGTAGTTAATAAAAACATTTTTCACGTATTTTGTGAACTATTTTATAATGCTGCAACATAAGAAAAATTCTCTGTAAAAACGGACAAATAGTTTTTTTTTTATTATAAACTTAGTTGAGCGATTGAACGTGACCTATATGGTGCTGACTTTGTAAAAGTTCACTCCGCATTGGAGTACTTGTAAATTTAAACGTTTTAAAGGGTGTCATGTCTCAGATTCTGGACGGAGACGATAATCACTTCCCGAAATATAAGAGTCTTAGACCTATGTTACATGGCAAATCGCATATTATACATATATTCCATCCACAGAATCTGCAGTCCAGCCAGGTAGTCAGTGAAAGTGCGCAGGCCCTACGGACTAAAATTCAGAAGTCGTTCCGAGATTAATTTAGGAGTTAAAAGTTTCTAGATTGCCTTATACCTTTGTCATCCGCCATTCGGCGGCAGCCACTAGTCTAGTAGCTCTGCTGTGTAGACGCCATTGCATCCCACGTTTTCGTGAACGTCAACTTATTCGTTGCCATCGAAACCTTCATGTTCCAGTACCAACCAAAGTGCTACCCTTACGTTGTTATGCGTGTTTAATTAAACAATCAATAGAGTCTTCCTGTGTCCAAAAGCCCTGATACTGCCTGACTGGCAGCCATGATACTTATCCTGGCGCCATTTGTCATTCTATGAAGACTTTCAGTGTTTCAGTTGAATTTTTTATTCAGTGCTTAAGCTGGGATCCCACGATTGCCGCAATACACCAATTAATGCCTCATTTTATGCCCCAATCGTGTGATTTCACAATACATTGACTCATGCGGCAATAGAGGCCGATATTGTGCTTACTGTGCCCAATCAAATACGGCCCGTGTGCGGCAATCGTGTAATAGCTCGATTGGCAATCATGGGGCAATGAAAATTTCAAAATTGCGGCAATATTTATTGTATTCTTCTGCGACAATTGAAGTGAACAATACACATCAATATTTAGGCTGTTTATTAATAATTTACTTTAACTTCCTTCTGTGTCCAAAAATCACTGAAATTAATATCCTTGTTTTCGGAAGCAACATAACTTTTAATTAATTTGTAGTGAAATTATAATTTTTCTTGAAGTCCGATAACGGAATCTTTGCCGCGATATATACCACCACAAGCAAAACTCATACGAGAAGAATACGAAAGGTATTTTATGTCTCCAAATGGCGGACTGCCATGACAGTATAAATTTATTAAAAAAAAAAACTTAAAAGTTCAATACAGCCCACGACAAAGCAGTAGAACCTCAACATTTTGACCAGTCTTGACTATTTTTCTTCTACTTATTTAATCTTCATTATTTTCGTATAAAAGTATAGCTCATTGTCTAACAAAAACTGCATAACTCCAAATTTTATACAAAAATTATAAAAATTTCTTAAACTTTTGAACACAATCCCATGGTTTATAATTTGGATTTCTAGAAAAAAAATGGTTATTTAGTTTTGTAGCTCATTAAAATTTAGTACAATAAGGTGGAGGTTTGAAGTTGCTAAAAGATCCTGTTGATTTTTTATAATTTTTTTAGCTGACGGTATTATGCACTTTTTTCTCTGTAAATTACTTTGTAAACTGCAAAACAAAATTTTTTCTAGAAACCCAAATTAAAAACCATTGAATTGTGATCAAAATTTTAAGAAATGTTTATAATTTTTGTATAAAGTTTGGAATTTGGACTTTTGTGGTTTTTACTAGACAATGAGCTATGGTTTTATAGGAAAAAATTAACATTAAACAACAGAAGAAAAAAGTCAAGACTGATCAAAATGTTAAGGTGCTATCTTTTGTTGCGAGCTGTACATATAATTATAAAATTTAATTCCAAACATAAATTATGTAAATTCGCAGCTTTCATTTAAACAAACATAACTCTTTTGTACCAATTTTACTTGTAATGAATAAAAAAACCTCTACGTAACAAAATTAAAAAGAAAACTGTTGCAACTTGAATTCCACATAGCATGTTGCAGTTATCGTCGAAAAATAAAAAAACTATACAATCAAACTTCTAAATAAATGCGTGAGGTTTCGTTGGGCACAAGTTTTTGCCTCTTTGCTTTCAAACAACAACAAATTTGCACAAAATGAGCCCGCAATATACAAAGCAGATGCAATGATTTATTTTTTTTTATTAAGAATACGCCATTTTTACACAACAGAGAAAAAAACAGAATTTAGAGGTCAGCGCAACACTTTATCGTCACAATTGCCGCATGCTCGAACAATCGTGTGATAAGTTTGGGGCAATTATTGTCACTATATTGCTTTTCGCCAACTTACGGCAATGAGAATTGTGTACTGTACAGAATTTCATTGGGACAATTTTTTTATTGTGCTCCAATACAGCACAATAAAAATTGTTCCAGATTGGTCCATTTGCGGCAATCGTGGGATCTCAGCTTTACTGTAGATACCTCTCCCTTCGCGATGACTAAATTTTCGAATTTTTCTCTGTTTTTTTCTTCATTATTATATTCTCTAACTAGAAAACTATCTTACACCGCTTTTTGTATTAATTGTGTTGAATCTGTACGATCCACAAGCAGTTATATGTCCCGATCTGATTTTTGAGTTTGATCATAAAATACTCGTTTGTACCCCGCCCGCGACTCTTCTTGACGAGTCTTTTATTACGCACTTTTCTGGTCAGTTTTGACTCTTCTTCAAGTCGTCTTTATAATCATTTCTGAGTCTTATTCAAATGATTTTTTAGTCCTATTTCTAAACATTTGCATATTATTGGTATCGGTAACAACCTTTTTTGTTTTGATTTTCCATTTGATTGGTTTTTATTTCCCATCATCGCTTTTGTGAAATTCGAAGCGTTGTAAAACCAAAATATTCCTCTTCTCTTTTCAGAATTTCACCGAACGGCGATCAGGAAGTAGATGTTCCCTTCGGCGAAGAAGAAGATGCATAGCCACTACTATTCGATATTGATTCCGAGGACAGCGATGACTGCGACGACACTATTTTTAGGAGTCATAATAACAACAAAGCGCATAACCATGACTGTTCCAGCATTATCAGCTAGCATCTTAGAAACACCTGCTGCTGCTTTGATGGTTCCAATATTTTCACCCACATGCAACAACTACTACTACTACTAATGTTAGCTACAGTTATGCCAAAGTAACAATCATACATTCAAAGTGACAACAGCCACATTACGTAATTTTATAAACATCAAAAGTAAAAAAAAAACGAAAATGTTTCATATTTTTTTAAAATCACAACAACTACAACAGCATCATCATCTAGAAGTTAAGTTATGTATTTGATTTTCAATGCATTTAGATGAGATGTCACACATGTATATATGTATGAACTGCAACAATTACTAAAGCAAATACAACAACTGTGACAGGTCGACGCTGGGACTGAGAGTTGAAAAAGTAAAAAAAAGAACGGAAAAGACATCCAATCGGAATTATGCAATTAGCTTGTTATATTATGTTTTTTTAAACTTTTAATGTTTTTGCTTTGATTTTTCAATGAAATTAAAAATCAGCGTAGAAATTTGAAAAAGTTTAGTTAGGATTAAGAGTCTGTTGCCTTTTACAGCTTAAAAATATTTGTAAATTCTAATTTGAAAATGTACGATTTCGAATTTTCCACAATTGTAAACATTTGTAAGTGCTTGCTAAAAAGACAAAATTAAAAAAAAAAAGGTATTTTTTAAGATTTATGTGTGCATATATGTGGTGAGGCGAGGCTGTGAGATTTATTGTAGAAACCGGTAAAACTTGACTATCTGGTTTTAAAAATTAAGCAGAAATTTTGTTTATATGCATGACAATTTAAGTGTTATTGATTGGAGTATTAAACGTGTATCGATATTAAAAATTATGGGGTACCTATTTAATTTGTTCAACTTAGTAAATAAAGGGACCCACAAAAATTTCAAAATTATTTTTTTTATCGCAAAAATTTACTACATTTCGACTTTGACCGGCTATAACTCGGCGGGCTTTTATATAAGTTTCAATACGCCGATTTAAGTCAAAACATTGTAAAATCTTTGCGCTTGTAAAAAAATTAAAATTTTTTTTAAACCCTGGTAGAGACATCTAAAGTGTTTAAAAAACATTTTAAAAAATTTATGGGTGTCCCATACAAAATGTAGATGTTGATATTTTAAGGAACATCTTGAGAGATATGTACATGTGTATGTATACTGGGTCATATAAAAAGGCTTTGCGGATTTTTGGGTAAATGTTTGAATTTTTTTTATTGAAAATCATTTTTAATCAAGTACATATTGGCCATTGTTATTATGTATCTTTGCCATTTTTCGGGTTGCGTCATAATTTCATTTGTGTATCGATCGGCCAATTTTTTACCATTATGAGAGTTATACAGATACCGCGACAAATGGAAGTCAGACAGTGCAAGGTCTATGATTGCATCAAAACTTCTTAACCTTCATATTTTTCATATTTGGTACCTACTACAATCGTTTTTCGGTTTGGACTGAGACCAAAAAACTTCACCAATTGCCTCTCTCCTTCGCGGATTTGTGGCAGTTTTGCGCTTCGTCCATACATATACAACATACCCAAGCCAGCCCCTTTCGAACCAATTCTGGTCGCTCTTTTTTTTATTGCTTCGTACAAGCGGTCGAATTGTACAGTAGAGGACCGAATTAATCGTTTCCCATCAACACCACATAGTTTCAAAATCCGTTAAGACTTTTCATGAGACCAAATACATACATAATATGTTCAATGGTATATATATGTGTGTACATGTATGTAAAATAGTTTTAACTCAAAATTCAATACAAATAGGTGCGTCAAAAGTAGAAAATTTTGTTTGTTGTAATTTGCTGCAAAAACACATCTGGTAAATTGTGAGTTAATACACTTTTGAATATTTACACAACCGTTTTTGATATTGTAAGTTCATACCTACATACATACAGTGACTTACAGAAGTATTTTGCATTGTTTTGTTTACGTTATTCAAAATGTTTTTCGTGGGAAATTTTTTTCGTTAGTTTTTTATAAAATATGTATAGCTCACTCAAGATAGAAGGACGCACAGGGGTCACTTGACCGATTTACATATTTTACTGTTAGTTTTCTAAATTGGTATTTCGAGAATTTTATTATAAATGCATAAAATTTACTTTAAAAGCATTCATATTTTATTGATGTGTTTGAAACTTAAATAAATAGTACAACTACCTAAAAAGACGGACCCTATTGGCAAATAAGTATATTAAGTATTTTTGTACTACTAAAATAAGAAAAATAAAATTTGAATTTTGTGTTGTTTTGAAATTGGATAAAAAGTTTTTAATTTAAAATTATAAGTTTTTTGTTATTAAAATTTCCAGACAAGTGTTAATCAGATGTTGAACAAAAAATTCAGTATGCTGTTTAATAACCCACTCAATTTTATGATAATAAAGTTTGAAATTTCAATGAATATTTGCTAATCTTTCCATAATTTTCTTATAAGTTTGAAATTTTGATTTATGCCGTATATTGTAGAATGAACTATATTTTTATAAAAAGTTTACGAAAATATTTTAACAGGTAAATATTTTGAATATATTAAGAAAATGCTATATCAAATACTTCTGTGAGTCACTGGATGTATGTAATTGTATTGTTAGTGTTTGGTTCTAAATTTTACATTTTATTTAGGAAAAAACTATAAAATATAAGTTTAAAAATTGTTACTCATTAAAAACAAACAAACAACATTGAAACTCTTGTTTTTGTCCGCGTGATGTACTCGGTTACAAATGTGCTTAATATAGTTTATATACAATAATGTAGTTAGTTAATAACAAATTAAACTTTTCTGTTTCACAAAAATAAATAAACACGTTTTAAAAAAATATACTTAGGCATATCCTTGTTTTCGTAGGAATCGAAAACTTGAAATTTTGTATAGAAAAAGATGGGAAAATTACCCGATTTTCGATTTTTACGAAAACAAGACTATGCTCCAATATTTTTCCTTAATTGCACAGCAACAAAAAAAAATAGTGTCTGAGTTCGGGGATCAGACTATACTTTCCGGTTGTGTTTTGATGAGCTGAACACGAATCGGTCTATAAAGTCGGAATTTTTTCCTTACACAAAAAAAAAACGTGGCAGTCACATAATATCCGCCATGTAGAAAACAATAATGCTGTTTGAACATAACAAGGGCCTCGGCGCAGACGCACATTGGAGGAAATGGTGTCAAAATTGGAGATTAATTCTTCCAGGCTGCCAAGTTACACTGCCGGAACAAAGTATTGGCACAGCAAATTTTTCACAATATATGCAATAATTTTTATTCTAATATTTTTCCGCCAATTTTGTATAAAAATATGGTTCATTCAACAACAAAAAACACAAAAATATAATTCGTAAACTTCGTGCAAAACTCGCGAAAACTGCAAATTTTCATAAAAATTTTCCACTTTGTAATCAGATTTTTTAGAATCTGCATACACAAAAAAATTCTTAATATTCTGATAAAAAGTTGAAAATTTTCATGAAAATTTGCTGAATTTTCGCGATTTTTGCACAAAGTTTAGGAATAATATTTTTATTGTTATATATATATAGATATATATTTATACGAAATTAGACGAAAAATATTAAAATGAAAATTGTTGCATATATTGTGAAAAATTTGCTGTGCCAATACTTTGTTCCGGCAGTGTACATAAAAACTATTTTTAGTTGATTATTCATAAAAAAAAACAAAAACAAAAAATAGCGTAATTCATGTTCTTCCGTTGACTGTTATTTAAATAACTACATACATACATACATATATCCAACAAAAAAGGCAAAATTTAAAACTTCGTATTTTTACCTTGGCATTCATCATCGTCGTTCTTCATTGTTATCAACTTTAATGAAATTTTCGGCAAATTCCGTAATTTCTTCTGAGCAGTTTTAGTTCTTCTAAATATAGGAGGGTCAAAACTGATCAAAAGTTCTTTAATATATTTTTATTTACCTATTTTCTTTTGAACTCGCTAGAAAAACATGCGCGGGCGCAATTCATTTTTTTTCGAGATTTTACTGCCTTTTCTGGCGACTGAACGATTTTTTTTTAAGAGTCGAATATTATTTTTAATCCACGGATGAGATATTTGTGAAGTGATTTGGGTGTAATATCGAGGATAATACCGAACACAATAATTTTTCATTGAATTTAAAAAGTCGACTTGCAAAAATTTGTTCCAGTTTCTGAGCTCATGCTTCTAAACAATCAGTTAAAATGTATCTTTTTATTTTTATTTTTATTTTCATTTTTCTTGAATATCTGGTTTATTTAAGAAACCGGAAGACTTTCATTTTCTCAGAGAACATTTGGAGTCATAAATGAGTCATCACGGAGTCTTAGTTCGGAACTTTTATGCTCATTTAAGAATCTGAAATGAAGCTGTTTCCCTTCTGCCGAAGGTCGACTTATATGAGCTTAAATTCATACATCAAATGAGCCCCAAGATGAGTCCTATTACGCTCATATTCGCACTCTTTCTAGACTCTTATTCTCTAAATTTGTGACTCTTTTCACATCGTCTTTGGTGAAAATTTATATTATTTTTCATTACTTTTTATAAATATATTTACTATTCGGTTTTAATCTGCAGAAGATTAACGATTTCGGTGACCCTTAGTAAAGTTTGGTCCTTAATATTCTAGTGGAAATTTTAACCATCTATAAGCTATTTTTTCAACAGCGTTTCAAAAAGGCCCATTCTGGTGGCAGTTGGTGGGTAAAACTGTGAGAAAAAAGTTTACCACAATTGCTTCCAAAAATTGGCTGTAAGTTTTATCGTATGTGAAAATGAATTTTTCTTGTATGCGAAATTATCGTATGTGCTAAGAATATAGAATGTAGAGACCTTACAAAAAAAATCTTGTTTTAAGTTATATTTCTCAATTATCTCGGCAAAGCTAGACTTTGGTAACAATGGTGCCAGCCAAAGCAGAGAAAAATATAGCAAAACAAAGAACCTGTAAAATTTGGTTTTTCTAGCATACGATAATTTTGCGATTTTCAAAAGTGTTATGTAGTAATGTAAAACAACAACAACATTTCAGTAACTGTCGTACAATAATGTAACTTAACGATAAACCGAAGGCCGAAGCCGATGTCGAAGAAAAAGAACCAGCCGAATAGGCCGAATACCGAAGCCAGGCTGAACCTTTGGTCGAACACTAGTATGTATGTATGTGCTGAAATGCAAAAGGGTCTTACATCTGACCTTTTTTTTTGTTTTTTTACATGTGCGTGCGTTGCGAACAAAAAATCCCCTTAACTGAGAGAGACATCCGACAAGGTTTGCGGTTCGGGATAATTTCAACTTAAACACAATTTCTTTACAGATTTAAGATATGAACATTTACATACATATGTATGTTCATGTGATTCTGAACAACTTTTAATAGCCATTAATTTTTTGGGAATAAGCATTTCTATTGTAAGCGATCAAAGTACAAAGACATTTCCATAAAATCTACAAAAAAAAAAATTAAGATTCTAGTGCTGTTAATGTTCTAGTTAGTCAGCATCTAAATACATACAAACATACATTGTATGTACTGGTCTGGTACATATTCACACCTTGCAGGAAAGAGGGATAGTTTATAGCTAGCTTTTAACTACCCAGCAGACAACTAGTTGTAACTTTTTATAACTTATTTCCTTCGGCCGTAACTAACTACTTTTAAAGGACGATGGCCTCAAAAGAAAAATGAGAACGGGTTTCCTCTGCATTAGATGTCAACTGACTTTTAGCTACACTACTTTTGGACATAAAATGTCAATAATTTTTTTTTATAAATTGTTATTTATTTAACATTATATGTATATTTGCTTATTTTGCAGGTGGTCCCATATTTGAATGCCATCAAACATAACATCAAAATAATATAAAATTTCGATCTTTATTTTATTTGTCCTTAATTCGATAAGTAATTTTTGTACGAACATATTTAAATAGAAGCTTGTATAAAGAAAACAAACTCCCGATAGCGTCTGCATGACTCTTGCACGACTTTAAAACTCACTTAAAGTTAGTTTTGTCATAGCTATTTAATAGTTACGTATTTATCGAAATTCCGCAAAAATGCCAACTAAGTATAAGTTAGTTATTTTTTATCAATTGATAATTTTTTCTGCAGGGCATGTGCACATAACTAGGTATGTTTTCATTTAGACGTACATACATACATTAAAAATGGTTAAATACATAACAATTACTTTTAGCCTTTATTTACAGGCCATGTATATACCCTTATTTGGCTGGGTGTGAGGGGTCAGCAGTTAAAAATTTAATTGTAATATAAATCCATAAAATCCATAGCGCGCACGTGAACTATATTCATTTTGTTAGAAACCCTGGATGGTGTAGTACATTTTGTTGTGAAATAGTGAAAAAGTTTCTAATTCCGTATAAATTTAGTGAAGACACAGGCACTAACATAAATTTATCATTAATGAAGTCGAGTGTGTTTCTAACGGTTTTAATCCTCTTTGGTATCTGCTATGGATCCACAAATGGCGATCTACGTGAGTACGAGTTATAACATACATATCGTCGTTTAAAACAAAACCGCGTACCGTCGTTCTGCAAAACCGCGTAACTGACATTTTTTGCCAAAAATTGGATTTGCTCACGTAAGCTCTTGGCTCAATCCTTATCCATTCGTCCTGAAATATACTAGCCAGAGATGCGGTTGCTTTAAAAGGAAGAGAACCATTTTGAAATATAAGTGTTTTAACTCTCTAGGGAATCATTTATGCGACATCACATACGCGGTTTTGCATTTTGTTGATACGCGGCTTTGTACTTTAAACGACGTATGTGTATGTGCATTAGAGTGACCATAGCGTTATTTGAAATTCGTAGTAAATTACTATTGTTTTTGGTCCCTGGTTTGAGGATATCGACCCATTTGCGCTAAATTATCGTATGTTAAATTTTTTACGAAATTCACTTTTTGATGCAACTTTGTTTTACACCCCATAACTCATCACCTACCCAATAGCCGCCCCAAAAATTTACTGTAAATTTTATTGTATTTGACAATGAATTATTTCTTGTAGGCGAAATTATCATATGTGCTAAGAAATTAGAATTTCATTTCATTTATTTCAAAAAACATTAGTACCATAAGACTTAGTCTTAATGTGACGACCTTTCCAAAAACAAAAAATATGTTTCAATTATCTCAGCAAATCTAAACTTTAGTATCTATTGATGGTGCTAGCAAAGCAGAGAAAAGAACAAAAAACACTTTCCTCTAAAAGTTGGTTTTTGTAAAATACGATAATGTTGCGCAAAGGGGTCAATATGCAAAAGTGTATAAATCGTGCTGAAGAATATTTTGAAAACAATTAGTATAATTTTTACTAACAAAATTAGTTTTTTCTTAGGTAGTCTAAGGACTCTTTTAAAGACACTCGGAATGCAAAAGGAGTTTACTTGCCGATCGCAATTTTTTGCTCCATATTTTAACTACCGAAAATCTATAATGTTGATGTAGCTGTTTAAAAGCTCAGTTAGTCTAGACTTAATTTTCGTAACTTAATTTAACTTAATATTTTGGCCAACCTGTTATATGAGAAACTGTGGTGGCGGTTAGTAAAACTTAACTTACCGTAAGAAACTTAAGAACCTGTAGATTTTAGATTCTTAAGTTACGTCCTTACGGAAATTGAGAGCGGTGTGA